GATCCACTCAAGTTGCATCTTATCAAATTAGCACCAAATAAAGATGTATTCTTGATCCTGATATTTTAAAAGCATTATTTTGCCAGATCGACCTTCATACTTATTAATAAATTTAGTCCATTCGATCCACATTAAATAAAATTTTCATCAAAGGTTGTCAAATGAATTAAGAATTTTATAAAATCAAATGATCTCCTTATTACCTGCTATCTTATTAATTAGATCTTATCTTGCTTCCTTGTAAGTGTCTGTAGAATAGTCATATTGACTGAAGTTATGACCCTAAACATCCCTTAAAACAGTTGTGATTATTATAATTTTTTTTTTTGGCATCATTTATTTGCTTAACTATTGACAATATATTATTGAAACTTTTGTTTGCCTGTTTTAGAAAGAAAACTTAGAAGGTCTGTGATTTTCTCCTCTTTAAGTATTTAAAGAATCCCTTTGAATATTGATTCATCAATATCCTGAATGTAGGCTAAAATTTCATAAAGATCTTCCTTTCTTTAATATACTTCACTTTCTTCCTAATTAGGTTGAAGCCTATATTAAGATTGAACTTAATACATAATTAATGACTTAAGCTTATTTATTTCTTCATTTATCTTTTAGATATATGACTTACTTTCTTAATCCAACCAATTTTACGTTTTCTCCATCTCCATAACTGATACATTCTTTTCGGCATTTTTCTTTTCAATCCAATCGTATAATTAATTTATAGTTTCTGTTACGTCCCATAACATCTTCGTCATTGTTTGAATTTGAGAAAGCATTTATTTAAAAGCCATTCTTTATTTCCCTATCTCAGATTACATTCTCTTTATTTTTAATATTAAATTTCTATTACTTTTATATTGAGTTTTGAATCTCAAAAATATTAATTTTCAAATTTTTTTAAAGATTTAGATTTCCTTGTAATTAAGATAGAATTCGAAATTATGAAATCAAAAATATTGGATATGAATATCAGAGAAAATGATTACGAGATCAACGATTGTAAACAATAAATATAAGAATTTAATACTTTATATAAGACCTGCAGAATGAATCTCTGTTAGCAAGTTGTCGTTTTTTTAGGTTTAAAAGAAAAATTAAAACCCTTAAATTCCAAAATAAATTGATTTTGAGGAATTAAGCCATGAAAAATGAACTATAAAACATTAAGTTTAATTAATAAAAGTTTCTGTTGATTAGTTAGTAGAAATTTTCATCCATGATTTTCTATTGAAATATAAAATAATATCATAAATCATTAAAGATGGCAAATTTATTTTGCTACGAACAAGTATTTCTATATTTGGAAATATCAGTTCGAATATCCTTGTGAAGAGATGATGAAATAAATGTGAAAAACATAAGGATTTAAAATAAGTATTAGAAATAATTATATACTTTTGTTTAGAGTCTCACAGACTCTTCACTTCTTGAGATTTAACATTAAATAAGACAATCGAAACATCTAAAAAATTATCAAGGAAGAGGATTCATATAAGAAGATTATTTTTTAAATCAAAAAATATATTTAATGTTAAGTCTGTTTGTTTACTGCAGTTGATAATTTATCAATTCGAAAGAGCTTCTATAAAATTAGTATTAACTTTAACTACATCTTCGATAAATTATATCATCATCTTATATTTATCATGAAAATGAATCGATTATTGGAATTAAGATGCAATAAATAAACATTTTGATTAGCAAAAAATTAAAATAATAAATATTATTCATTTTAGGCAATCTCTAAAGTAGCAACATAAATATATAAAATTTAAATAGTTTTATGATTAATTATCATTATCTTGTAGAATTCTTTATCTAACAATCATCAAAAATTATTATTAATTTACAAAAGAAGTATAAGTTCATGCCGTTCTTTTAAATGAAGAAATCAAAAAATTTTTTTTGTCAATTATGTAATGTCAAATGAAGATATTATATAATTTAAATTTCTTTGAGAGAGAAAATGCTTAAATTAAAAACTAGACTGGTAGAGAGGCAAATAGAGTAAACAGCGTTACTACGTCCATTCAATTTTGCTTTTTATTATCCTGTCTTTACATCCCATAGAAGAATAGAGTTATCCACACTACCAGATGCGAATGTAGTATCATCAGGAGATAAGCATATAGATGTAACAAGATCTCTATGACCATCCAATTGGGCTATTTATTAACATGTCATCACATCCCATAATCGAATAGATTTATCTCCACTTACAGATCCTAAAGTAGAACCTTTAGAAGAAAAGCATATTTAGTAGACGTTTTTAGTGTGACCATTTAATTAGGCTTTTTATTATTCTGTCTCAAAATCCCATAATCGGATAGACTTATCCCCACTACAAGAGGCTAATGTGGTACCATTAGGAGAAAAGCAAATTGAATAGACATAATCACTGTGACCATATAATTTAGTTTATTCCTATTCTGTCTTAACATTCCATAATCGAATAGAATTATCATAACTACCAGATGCTAATGTATTGCCATCAGGAGAAAAACAAATTGAGTAGACATAATCACTATGACCCTCCAATTTGGCTTTTTATTATCCTGTTTTAGCATCCCAGAAATGTATAGAATTATCTCCACTACCAG